CTTTCTGTGTCATCCATTATTCCTCACAGAACCTGAGTTCCACAGCCACATCACCCTAAATGCCTTCACTTGAACCTCGCTAGGTTGTAAATTTTGTTTAAATTATGGTATCCATAGTAATAAAAATGTAAGTGAAAATAAGAGGCCATTTAAAACCCAGACTTGCAAATGTTTAAAAAAATTAATTCTCAGAGCTTGGGGAGGGTGAGATACCATATTAAAAGTAAAAACTTGTTCGATTTTTCTTGAAATCATTTGTGTCACAAGAACAATGAAACTATTAGTAATGTAATCTCTTGGTCCATTCATGTAGCTTCAAATGGCATTATTTCATTCTTTTTAATGGCTGAGTAATATTCCACTGTATATATGTACCACATCTTCTTTATCCATTCATCTGTCAATGGACATTTAGGTTGTTTCCATGTCTTGGGTATTGTAAATAATGCTGCTCTGAACATAGGAGTGCATGTATCTTTTCAGATTACAGTTTAATTATAATTATATTATATAATTATCATTATGTAAGTATATAATTATATTATATATACTTATATAATTATATACTTATATAATATAATAATTTAATTATTATATTATATAATTACAAATATAATTATATTTAATTTAATTATAACCAGGAGTGGGGTTGCTGGATCATATGGCAACTCTATTTTTAGTTTTTTGAGGAATCTCCATACTGGTTTCTTTTTTGTTTGTTTGTTTTTGGTTTTTTAATTAAAAAAATTTTTTTGGCCATGCTGTGCAGCTTGTGGGATCCTGGTTCCCTGACCAAAGATTGAACCCAGACCCTGGCAGCGAAAATGCCGAGTCCTAACCACTGAACTACCAGGGAATTTCCCTGTTTTCCATAGTGGCTGCATGCACCAATTTACATTCCCACCAACAGTGTGAGAGAGTTCCCTTTTTCCACACCCTCTCCAGCATTTATTATTTGTAGACTTTTTAGTGATGGCCATTCTTACTGGTGTGAGGTGGTACCTCATTGTGGTTTTGATTTGCATTTCTCTAATAATTAGCGATGATGAGCATCTTTTCCTGTGCCTATTGGCCATCTTTATTCCTGACCACTGATTTAAAGCTGACTTGAATGCCTTTGAGGATCAAAGTGGAGTCACTGATCACTTCTTCTAAAGTAAGGGGTAAAATTTGCACCATCTTTTCTAATTGGATAACTCCTATTTTAGGGAAAAATATTAGTAATGAGTCATTTATACCTAGGGGAAGCTTCTCGAAGTAGGATAGGTAGTCTTGTTTTTGAGAGATGTACATGGTCTACAAGTAACACTATTGGCTTGGTGGTGTTTGGTTAAACACTTGTATGTCTCTTATGAGCATTCTTAAGATGCAAGTCACTGTGTTTTGGAGACAGAGGCAAGTTAATGCCTGGCTTCCTGTTCAAGAAGTACAGTCTTGGGGATGCACATAGTGTCCTTGGAAAGACCAGGGTTGTTGACAGCTGTTGGGAATGCTCAGGGGAGTCTGCATTTTTAATTAAAATTTTTATTTTGAGATAGTTATAGATTCATATACAGCTGTAAGAAATAATACAGAGAGACCTGGACTCTTTAACCAGTTTCCCCCAATGGTAACATTTTGCATTATTATTTGCAAATATATTATAGTACAATATCCCAACTTTATCCCATGGATACAGTCAAACTACAGAACTCTTCCAACACAAGGATCCTCTATTTTGCCCTTTTATAGTCACACTCATTTCCCTTCCACCCCACCATCTCCATAACCCCTGGCAATCACTAATCTGTTTTCCATTCCCATAATTTTGTCATTTCAAGGATGTTATATAAATAGAATCACAAAGTATGTACGAAAGGCATCTAGTTTTTCACATTAAGTATAATGCTAGCTGTGGGTTTTTTGTACCTGCTCTTGTGGAAGTTCTCTTCTCTTTTTCTATTTTTCCGAGCATTTTTATGACGCTGAATTTTGTTGAATGTGCTTATTCTATGTTGATTTATATGTTTGTGTTTTTTCTTTAGTTTGTTAATGTCATGGTTTATATTGATTGATTTTTGAATATTAAACAAGGACTGCATCCCTGGGGAAAAAAAAACATTTGCTCATGGTGTATAACGATTTTTACATATTGCTGAATTCTATTTGCTGATATTTTTGCACCTATATTCATAAGGGATATTTGTTTGTAGTTTCTTTTTTATTCTGTGTTTCTCTGGTTTTGCATCAGAGCAATACTGTCTTCACAAAGTCAATTGGAAAGTGTTCTCTCCTATTTTCTGGAAGAGATTATGTAGAATTGGTGTTAATTCTTCCTTAAACGTTTGGTAGAGCTCTCCAGTGAAACAATCTGGGCCTGGAGTTTTCTTTTTTAGGAGTATTTGAATTTGAATTAAATTTCCTTAATAGTTACAGGGCTATTCAAATTATTTATTTCCTATTGGGTGAGTTGTGGTAATTTGTGTTTTTCAAGGAACTTGTCCCTTTCATTTAAGGCAAATTTATGTGTGTAGAGTTGTTTGGAGTATTCCCTTACTTTCTCTTTGATGCCTGCAAGGTCTATAACGAGATCCCTTGTTTTGTACCTGACACTGGTAATTGGTGTCTTCTCTCTTTACTTTCTTTGTCAGTCATGCTAGCAGTTTGTCTATTATATTGATCTTTTCAAAGAACTAGCCCTTTGTTTTCACCTTATTATAGCAAGGGTGGAAGTCTAGGACCCCATTTGGCCTTTGCTGATGTGGATGTGGGGGAAGCCACAGTTTCTTCTGGGGTGTTTGGCTGGAGCATAGCCATTACTGTCTAAACTTATTTTGTCCTTCTAGGCTCCTGCTTCCTGGTTTTTTGGCTAACAACAAAAGACAACAGGCTTTTGCTGGGCTCCAAGTCTGGATCAGTGAGACAAAGAGAAAATCCAGGGAACTCACCATCATGGCATTCCTTGGGTCCCTAGATTCCTAGCCCATCTGCCTCTTCTTTCAACCTTTCAGAGTCTTCTTATGTTTGTTTATATGTAAAGTCAGGATTTTTGGTGGTATTATACTAGCAGGAGAAACAGGGAAAATTATATCTACTCCATATTCTTGAAAGCAGAAGTCTCCAGAAATCTTTTTTTAGTAGATTTTTGAGGAAGCAGTTCCAATGGTCAACAATATCAGATACTTGTCAATGGTAATGAATGTAGAAGCTTGATCATGTACCTTGACTATCAGCCCATTGTTGAGTAACTCTTGGGTTAAAAGTGTACCATTATCAGATTACGGATGTCCCAGAAAGCCAAACTCATGACTAATTTCAAGGGCCAATCTTCCTTTGTGGGTTTCCTTGACTGCCAGAGGGATTGAGTGTTGTGAATCCACTTACGTATTTTTTTACTTGGTGAGTGGGGCTCTGAATTTTTGGAGGGATTGTGGAGGTGAGATGACATGGATTCAAGGCTATAGAGACTGAGGTGTCTGACTAGCCCATTGTGGCAGACAGACTCTAAGGCGGACCCCCATGACCTCCACCTCCTGGTTTTCAGAAACTGCAGGACAATGAGACTAGAATCTAGGAGGCAAGGGCAGCTGCTAGCTGATATCTAGAAAGAAACTGGGGACACAGACCTACAGCTGCAAAGAAATGAATCCTGCCAACAACCTGAGGGAGCTTGGAAGTAGATTCTTCCCCCTTCCAGCCTCCAGATGAGGATGCATCCTGACAGACACTGTGAGTGCAGCCTTGTGAGACCCTGAGCAGAGGATCCAGTTAAGCCATGCCTGGACTTCCGACCCTTAGAAACTGCAATAGTAAATGTGTGGTGTTTCAAGCTACTACATTTGTGGTAATCTGTTACATAGCAATAGATAACAAATAGACTGACCAAGAGGACATTATCTATGAAGTGAAAGCTTTGGACATCAGAAGGTAGAGGCACTCACAATAAACTCTGACTCACCTATTCCTGGCAAAGGGCAGGTACGTTTATGTACCCATGTTGCGAACAAATATTGGAAACCTCAGTGGCATGCTGGGAGAGGCTGCTCTGTGTCTTGGTAGCCTCATCTGAAAGTGGAGATAATTTTAATATGTACTTCATAAGGTGGTTGTAAGTATAGGGGCTGGCCTAGTTCATGGTGTGTGGCTCAATGAAGGTAGCTGTTGCTGTCTTAATGTTTCAATGAGCTCACATTTCTGTCAACACCCTCAAATTATAATGGTGATTGATTTGCAGACACTCTCCCAAACTAATCAATCTTTCAAAGGTTTCCCCAGGATCAAAGCATCGTTTGGTCTACATTCTCACAGAACAAAGCAACATTTCTTGTTTTCCTACAGCCACCACCCAACAAAAATTCCAAACAAACCAAGTCTTCCAAGTCACTCCTCTAATCAGCCCTGGGCTTCTCTGCAGAAAGAACGACTTTTCTAGTTAATGAGGACTTCGGTGAAGGGTTCATTAAGTTTTTTCTTCCAACAAAAGAATACTGTCCCCATGAAACAGGCTCTTGAATTTCATTATTCGCTCCCTGGATAAAGAGGGGAGACTGAAGTTCTGAGACATGGCCTGAAGGCCCTTTGGGGGCGTGGGCATCCCTGAGCCCCAGTCCCTTTAACTCGGAAATGCTGGGGATTTAAGCCAGCGCGGGGCGCGCATTAATTTCAGCCCATGAACAGATTGAAATCATCCTGTTTAAACAAACCAGCCTAACTGCCGGAAAGGATCGGTATAACAGGGGCCAGGACAGGGGCAAGCCCTGGGTGAGGAGGACCTGTCTCCGGCCGGGCCCCTCCCACGCCCGCAGCGGCCGCCGAGTGCCACATCAGCGCCCTGGCTGCACTTCCAGGTTCCTCTTGAGGATGGAGCGAGCTGGCCCGGCGGGCGGGGGGCGGGCCCAAGGACCGAGGGAGTGGCGGGCCGGCCGGCCAATAGGCGGCAAGCGAGGAGCCCCGGAGACCAATGAGCTGGAGCTTCTGCTAGCCGTGGCCGCCGAGGCTCGTGCCCCGCCGGGGAACCAGATGAGGCACATCTGGACAGCTGCGCTGAGGAACTGTGCGGCCCCTTCGCGGGCCCGACGTCAGCTGAGCACGTCCCCCACGTCCTCTCCTTTGAGCCACTTATTTATTCACTTTTCCAAAGAAGCAACCAGGAATCCAAGTTTAAAACTTTTTTCGCCCTAATGCGAGACGGGGCCAGATCCCATCCAACACACAGTTTAACTTTCATGGGGCTCTGGGATCAAAAGGACAGAAACAGCAACAGCAAAAGCCCAGCCGCTGTCTGATTTAAAACTGGCAAAGTGGGAAAAATAGCGTTGAGTAAGACCGATTTGGGTAAGTTTTGGGTACGTGCTGGATATCTTATTTCTCCCGCTGTGATCTCTACCCTGCGTCTTTTTGCTGTTCTCACTAAGCCTTCTCATCAGGGAGAGAAAAATATCGCTTGCTGCCACAAACTGCACAGAACCTCGTTTCCTTTTCTTCTGCTTTGCTAACATTTTAATGTAATTTAATTAAATTTAATTTTGGGGTTATCCGTATGCTATTTAAAAATTTTCTGGGAACAGAAATAACTTATCCTGTAAAAAGCCTCTCCTAACTTCAAAGTTGAATCTATTGATACATTTATTTTTCTATTTTCTTTCTGTGAGAACAGGTATACATTTGTAAAGCTGGAATTTTTATCCATCCCCCCTCCCTGTTTTTTTTTAAAGTATTTATTTATTTATTTGGTTGCGCTGGGTCTTCGTTTCGGGAGTCTGGCTCCTTAGTTGCAGCATGTGAACTCTTAGTTATGGCATGCATGTGGGATCTAGTTCCCTGAGCAGGCATCGAACCCAGGCCCCCTGCATTGGGAGCATGGGGTCTTAACCACTGCACTACCACGGAAGTCCCCCCCACCCCGTTTCGTCAGAAGATTAAAAAGTTATCTGGCTTATTCAGAATTAACAAAACTTTTGCTTCCTTTAATGGGATATTTAATATTAAATTATTTAAATCCTGAATTATATAGGTAATTACTGTTTCACTTACATGTGAATGTAGCTCAGTGTCTTTTCTATATTCTCCTGTCCTTAGTGGTAGGCCCAAATTCCTTGATGATTGTTAAAAAACCACACTAAACGTGATAGACCACTGTGTGCATCAATAAGCTTATAATTATATTATTACCCCCATAATTCTATCAGAGTAATATTCAGAGTGCTGTTAGATGTTTGTGCTTGCACATAATTCTGGTATATATTTCAGGACTTTAAAATGGAAATGATGGCAAATACTGAGCTAGGTGAATGGCCAGAGGCCCATTCCATCCCAAACATCTATAATTGTCTCTGTTTAAGCAATGTTTTAGATTTGAGACTTTATCATATGTTATTTACTCTTGTGGCCAGAATTGATCTTTAATTTTTGACTTAGAAAGCAGTAGGTGCCACAATTGCAAGTTGCAAAGTGTGTTTTTGATTCAGAAAGGCACTGCACACTGTGAGTGGAAGAGGTGAAGTGGTTTTCAGGGATGTAGGGTTAGAAGGAACAGTGTTGCAGAGAATCAGTATAAAGAGCCAGCTGGCCTGGTTCAATTTAAAACCCTGCCGTTTGACCTTGGGTATGTAACTCAGCCCATCATACCTCAGTTCCCTCCTTTGTACGTGCCGATAATAGCACCTATCTCATGGGATTGTCTTGAAAACTAGGTGAGTTAACGCGCGTTAAACCCTTGGTTCTGGCACAGAGTTAGTCTTTGCTGTTGTGCACACTCTCCATTGCCGTCCTTTTTGGCTTCCCCTGCTGCACTTGTTTTCCCAGCCAGCATTTTGACTTCTACACTAGCAACTAGTGTTTACTGAGTGCAGACCCCTTGTTAATTGGGCATTGTATATGGCTGTAAAGGAGAGAGAGTTTGGAGAGGGGAATGAGGTAGAATTTATCAAGTGCCTTAGAAAGACCTAGAGGGCTCTGGGAAAGAGGATCTTTCCCTCTGGGAAAGAGGATGGTTTCAAGAAAGGGTTGGCATTTCTGGAAGAGGATTTTGCCAAATGGCTTTGGCTGAGGGGAAAGGGATCATAGAACAGAAGGTGGCAGGCACTCCAGGAGGAAGGGAAAGCATGGGCAAAAATGCACTGAGGCTGAAAAGTGTGAATTTCTCCTGGGGGGATGTTGGGTTGTGATGCGGGATAATCTGTGAGAGCTTAGTAGGTAGAAAGGTTGGAAAAGTGGGAGGGGTAGGAGAGGGCGGCATGGAGAGCCTCTCTGTGGGGAAGGAGAGGCTTGGGAAGTAAGATTGGTAGGGGGTCACAAGCTGAACTTGCAGCAGTTACATAGTTGGAGGTGTTTCTGGAATGATCCATCTCTCAGTTTCTCCCCCTTGCCCAGCATACCCTACCTGATCTGCTCCACTGCTTCAGTGACCCCCACCTCAGGGCCTTGCAGGACTGACCAGTGAGTCTCAGCTCCACTTTTCGGACTCACTCTGTGGTGGCTGTCTTGGAGCTCTGCTGAAGTGGTCTGGCATCCTGGACTATTACCGAGGCTACATTTCAGAAACAGGTCATGCCCTAAAGTCTTTGACATGGATGTGATTGTTGCACCTGCACCCCTCCCCAACCCCTACACACACACAGTGTGTGCCAAAAAGCCCTTTTTCATGCTGCTCAGAGAATCGAGCATTCACATGCTAATACTTATAACTTTAGGATGCACAAGTATTAAAGTAGATGAGACCTGTAGTATGCACCTAAGTGACAAGTCAGTTTGGAGAGCTCTGCTTTCTCTTCCTCGAGAGCACTGTGCTGTGTCAGAGAGAACCTGAGTCTGGCCCTGATGCTGCCGTGGACCACCTGCATGTCCTTGGGCAAGACATTGAGCCATTATGGCCCTCTCTGTGCCATCATCTGTAAAATGTTCTCTAAGATCCCTCTTCCGTTGGATGATCTTTTATTTCTTTTCCCTGGGACAGTCTGTTGCTTCTAGAAGGTTATTTGATCCATCTGTGAGTAATGGATTTTCTGAACACTTAATATATGACAGACATTGTTCTGAGTGCTTTACCTGCCTTAACTCATATAGCCTCTCAGTAATCCTGTGAGGGTTGGTACCTATTAGTTGAGGTGACAGAGGCATGGGCGGATTAAGAAACTTGCCCAAGGTCACACTGTACAAATGACAGACACAGACCCAGACGGTGTAACTCCAGAGCCCAAGCCTTCACCACTAGCCTATGCTGCCTTGGGTGCAATACAGCAGGGCTGCTCTTCTTGTTTGTGGCGGTGGTAGTCAAGAAGTCCATGGAGGGAGAATCACTGGAGGGGGAGGGACCATTTGGAGGAGTGGGGTTGGTAAAAATTCCCTGCAGGGACCATAATACCAACTTGAGTCTTGTCTATGGGCTGCGTTGCACATGCAGACAGGAAATGTGTTACTTGTTTATTAGATGGAGCTCATTACAGATAATCATTCTGTCTTTTCATCTTGATTGAACAGAACCACCATAGACCCTGGACTTACGGTAGACATTCAGTAATGTCAGTTGAATGACTGAATCCTTTGAGAAACTGGAACAGAGTGTATGTGTCAAAAATAATGGTTTCCCCTTTATTTACCTGCCTTCTTTCCATTTTACTACTTTCTCCAGAGGTAATCTTTGCTAATAGTTTGGTCTGTATCCTTCCAGTCCTTCTCCAAGAATCTACTCACAGGTGTAGATCTAAACGTAAATATAATTTAAAAATATAAATGGAACTACAGTAGTTTTATTTAAAAATAATAGAGAAACTATGAAATGTTCCAAGGCTTGTGGAAGAATGGGGCAGATGCCAGGTACACTTTCTATTCCTATTTCTTGGGCAGCCTGGTTTCTTGTCTTATTTCTGGAGATGCTGTGGTTTGGGGATAAGAATGTCTCATGGTGAAGGTTAACGAAGGACTATTTTAGGTGTCTTATTATTAGTCATACCCAGTCTGGATTCGATATTTTGGGGGGAATTCATTCTTAAAAATTTTAATATGTTTAATCAACTTTAACATATTACTTGAAAAACAGTTTAATTTGCTTTCTGTCTCCTTACCTTAAGGTAGTCACTCTTTTCAGTATAGCACACTGACTGAGCACATGGATTTTTGAGTCAGATGAAGGGTTTCAACCCTAGATCTGCTTCTTACTAGTGTGCCTTGAGCAAGTCACTTTCTCTAGGCTTTATTATTTATAAAGTGGGAATATCAAAGGCATTAAATGAGAAAATCAATATAAGGCATTTAGCATGGTGTCTGCGTCATAGTAAAGCCTATACATGTAAGCAATTCATTTTTTTTTACTGTGGTAAAATAAACATAACATAAAATTTGGCATTATAACCATTTCTAAGTGTATAGTTCAGTGACATCAAGTACATTCACATTATGGTGCAACCAGAACTTTAAAAAAAATTAATTATTTAATTAATTAGTTTGGCTGCCTTGGGTCTTCGTTGCTGCCCGGGGGCTTTCTCTAGTTGCGGCCAGCGGGGGCTACTCTTCGTTGCGGTGTGTGGGCTTCTCATTGTGGTGGCTTTTCTTGTTGCCGAGCATGGGCTATAGACGCGTGGGCTTCAGTAGTTGTGGCATGCGGGCTGTACAGCGCAGGCTCAGTAGCTGTGGTGTACGGGCTTAGTTGCTCCGCAGCATGTGGGGTCTTCCCGGACCAGGGCTCGAACCCATGTCCCCTGCATTGGCAGGCGGATTCTTAACCACTGTGCCACCAGGGAAGTCCCTCCAGAACTTTTTCATCAAACTGAAACTCTTTATTCATTAAACAATAACTCTCTGTTACCTTCCTCTCCCCTCCCCGCAGCCTCTGGGAACAACCGTTCTGTATTCTGTGTTTATGAATTTGACTACTCTAGTTACCTCTTATAAGTGGAATTATACAGTATTTGTCCTTTTATGACTGGCTTGTTTCACTTAGCATAATGTCTTCAAGGTTCATCCATATTGTAGTAAGTGTCATAATTTCATTGCTTTTTAGGCTGAATAATTTTCCATTGTATGTATATACCACATTTTGTTTATCCCAAACAAAATGTTGATGGGTATTTGGGTTATTTCCGTCTGTGAAGTTAACCTTTTGTGTCCATTTGTCTAGGCCACAGTATCCAGATATTTGGTCAAACATTATTCTAGATATTTTTGTAAAGGTATTTTTAGATGAAATTAACATTTAGATTAGTAGACTTTGAGTAAAGCAGATTAGCTTCCATAATGTAGGTGGGTCTCATCCAGTCATTTGAAGGCCTTCATAGAACAAGACTGGTCTCCCTTGAAGAGGGAATTCTGTCAGTAGACTGCCTTAAGACTTGAACTGC